TAATTTGCAAATAAATTCTTTAAAAATCAGACAATGTGACTTTCTGGATTTTTTTTTTCTCATTTTGTCTCTCATAGTTGAGGTATACCTAGGATGAATTACAGGCCTCTCTCATCTTTTTAAGTGGGAGAACTTGCACAATTGGTGGCTGACTAAATACTTTTTTGCCCCACTTTGTGTGTGTGTGTGTGTGTGTGTGTGTGTGTGTGTGTGTGTGTGTGTGTGTGTGTGTGTGTGTGTGTGTGTGTGTGTGTGTGTGTGTGTGTGTATTTATGTGTGATCATTTGACCTTTGTTAACCCATGCTTCACTAGTCCGGCCTTTTTTTGATTCCCTGTGTGCAGTAAGAGGCAGCAGTAAAACCCTCTCCAGCTTTCAGATATCAGTCAGGAGCTGCAGACTTCACGGGGTTAACTCGATGACACCCCGGCACACACACACTGTTGCTTTAGTGGTTTGGCACAGACTGAAAACCACAGGAATGGCTCTATATACTGCACCTCGTGGGTACATATGCATGCGTGTTGAGTGGTTCCCATCCTCTGAGCGGCAGCGTGACAGAGGTTTCCTGTATATGACAACACTCTCTACTGTGCTGCAGGATGAACAGGTAAACAGCACACACACTCTCTACCTGCTGCTGTCACACACCACTGAAACCCCGACCCATCTGTTCAAAACCCAAGTCTCCTGTGCAATCAAATCACAAGCCAAAGGATACAAACTGCAAATCTAATACATGTTATAAACATTTTCTAGAGTTTGTTTTATAGACTAATATGTGAAGTCAAAATACACCTGCTTTGAAAAAGACTTGTTTTATAACTGTCGACACAATATGGAAGATAGTCATTTTTGTTATTCTTTCAGGTTATTATTTTATGTGGGTTGGGCTTCATCTCATTTTAGAGATGCAAATTAGCATATATCAATATGAATAATAGAAAAATTTGCTTCATCAAAATATTTCTGTAAGCTACATTTACTGAAAGGGATTTACTATTTGATTGAATACAAATACAAATATTCTGGTTAGGCCTTTGCTTTCTGTAAAGACAAAATCATGATCAAACTGTCACAAGATTGTCATTTATGTTTTCTTTGTTTCATATTCCATTAGTAGCTGCAACACAGCCCTGTAGTTCATAATACAAGTTGATTTCTGCATGTTTATCACCATGTAATGGTGTACAAGTACAAAAGCTTTTAATGTATGTAGCACTATTACTGAGTTACAGGGGGATGAATCATCTCACGTGATATGTATGCAACTCTAAATGCCTTTCACTGGTATTGCCACCAGTATGGTCCTGTTACGCAAAAGCAGTGATTTTGAGCTCATCTAGTGTTCTGAATATAAACATCAATATGCAGCCTTGTGTGTATTCAGTTATCACATGTTTGGCAAAGTTGCTTGTGGCTAAAGAGCATGCTAAAATGGTGCATTACTTAATATTGGAATAGAAGGGCACTGTTCAGCAAAATGAAATGTCCAGAACTGAAACAGCTGATAATTATATCTGAGACTGTATTTATCTGTTAAACAATGATATTGTTATTAAAACATGAATAAAGCAATAGCAGGATTGAGTCCTAAAGCAGGAAATGAGTTAGCAGTTTAGCACTTTCAGGTTCCTTAGTCTTAAAGTTAAATTTTATTTATGGGTTTTTGGTTTTATTTCTGAACACAGGTCAGTGGTAACTACAAGCTTACGCGACTTTTCCATATATAAATGCCAGTTAATAGCCTAATGGGGATTGTCTGAAGCGTTAGCTTGGTTGTTTACAAGTGGCCAAATGAGACTACTAAATGTCATCACTGCACATAAAAGTCTGGCTTTAGCTTAGCGGGTGACCATGACGTAGTTTATTTATAGATATTTTGTTAGTTATTTATTTCTGGTGTTTGCATTTATGCTTGAAAAATGATAAAGTGGTGTTAATATGTGGAGAAATGTTTGTTTCCCACAGATATTATTTACTGTAATATTCCAGAAATACAATGGAATTAATTTTTTTACTTTTTGTTGAGGGAGCCCTTGTTATTCCGGTTTGACCCACACAAAGACATCATCACTGCACCATTCTATACCCAAGCCATAAGCCTTCCCATCCTGCATTTCACAGGGAAACATTGCATCAGTCTGAGTGTGGTATGAGCCCCCACAGCGTTACCTTTCTTCTGAAGCCGTGCACTCTCTTTCTGCCGAAGTTCCATCTCCCTGCCAAGCGCCTTCCTCTGTCGCTGCAGCTCGCTCCGCAGCACAGCGATACGCAGCTGCATGCACTCTCGCTCCTTCTTCTTCTCATAGCAACACAAGACAACAACACGGAGACAAAACAGAGAAAGAGGATTAAGGAACTTGTTTAGTATGTGGGCACAGCAGTAATCTGTGTTTATAACCATTTGAAATACCTTTACATTCCTACTAGCTCCATCAAATTCATTCAAGTCACATTGATTTATTTCAGATCTACTGAGCTCAATAATCTAGACTCCACTGTCAGCAGTCAATGAGAAGATGGACAGGGACTCAGATATTGGCTTAAAGGTGGAGGACAGCACGCTTGTTTATCAATAACCTTATTTCAGTAACATATTGCCGAATCAAAAGCCTAAAGTTTGATTCAACTTGATGTCAATTCATCAATTTAAGTGTTTTTAAGAAGAAGAAGAAGAAGAAGAAGAAGAAGAAGAAGAAGAAGAAATTCAGATTAAAGTTGCTAACATATTAGATGTATATATATATATATATATACATATATAACCACACAAGATTATCTTGGATATATATTAGATTAGACTGTTTTATACATTTCATAAAATACTTTCTGTTTTCTTTATGACCGACAACTAAATATATATGATTTGTAACAAAACCAACATTTGAGCACTTCATTAAATAATAATCAGCATTTTGAAATTAGAAGATTAGTGCATTCTCACTATTATATGAGTTGATGAAAAGACCAAACCATTTAAGGATTATCCAACAGTGGAAATAATAACTGCAGCCTCATTTACTGTATATATTATGATATACAAAAGTCAGACTAAATACTATATAATAAGAGAAATGGTTCAAATAGAAATAAATCATTTTAATTAAGCATTCTCCAACCTGCAGATGCATTCAACATTATCTTTAATTTTGTTAAAGCAGGAAAACTGGCAAAGCATTCTGAAGTTAGAATGAACAGTCATGAGTCATTCTCACAGAATATTTGATCCAGAGCTGATTATTGCTATTCAACTGCCAACACACAGAGAACCAGGACACGCCACAACCTGTGAATGTACACACCCCGGAGTGAGAGACCACAATAAAGCCCATCCACTCCAGATGAGTGTCCGTCTTTGACTCTTTGTACCCACAACTCTCCTCTGGCGTCTCTCCCACCATATGCTCCCTGACAGCATCAGTGTGAGGTCATTGAAAAAAACTGCTTTATATTAACAGGATTTCATTGATTTAATTACAAAAAGAGCTGGCAGCTCATCCCTTAAAAGAGAAGCCTCAGATGTATTATAATAAATAATAATAATAATACATTTTATTTCAAAGCGCTTTTCCAGGTGCTCAAAGACGCTTTACAGTGGTTTGATAAAACATGATAAAATGGAATAAAAAATAGAAATAAAAAATAAATAAATATTAAAACAGCAACCCAGCATAATTCACAAATTAAAAGCCAGTCAGAAGAGGTGTGTTTTGGTCAGTGTTTTGAAAGTGAGGGGGTCGGTGCAGTCTCTGATGTGTTGTGGAAGGGAGTTCGAGAGGGTGGGGCAGCGATGGAGAAGGCTCTGTCCCCCCAGGTTCGGAGCTTGGTTTTTGTGGGGATAGAGAGGAGGTTCGCTTCTGATGAACGAAGGCTGCGGGAGGGGGTGTAGGGGTGGATCAGGTCGGTGAGGTAGTGGGGGGGCCCTGGTTATTGAGAACTTTGTGTGTTAGCAGAAGGATTTTGAAGTGTATTCGTTGACGGACAGGGAGCCAGTGGAGGTTTTGAAGGACGGGGTGATGTGGTCTCTGGAGCGGGTGTGGAGGAGGAGGCGGGCAGCGCAGTTCTGGATGTATTGTAGTTTATTTAGAATTTTGGATGATGAACCATACAGGATGCTATTGCAGTAGTCCAGTCTTGAGGTGATAAATGCGTGGATGAGGGTTTCAGCAGCTGGGAAGGAGAGTGAGGGGCGGAGGCGGGCGATGTTTTTCAGATGGAAGAAGGCAGTCCTGGTGATATGGTTTGTGTGTTTGTCGAATTTGAGCTGGCTGTCAAAGATTACTCCAAGGTTGCGAATGTGAGGAGGGGGTTAGAGTGGTGTTGTCAAGGGTGAGGTTGAAGTTCTGGGTGGTATTGGTGCGGGATGTGGGTCCGATGATGATGATATCTGATTTGTCGCAGTTCAGTTGAAGGTAGTTTGTTTGCCTCCAGGATTTAATTTCTGAGAGACAGTTGGTGAGTGTGGAGTGAGTTGTGGCAGTGATGGTTTTTGTGGAAATGTAGAGTTGGATGTCATCCGCGTAGCAGTGATACTGGAGGTTGTGGCGGCGGATGATTTTTCCAAGGATAGAGCATGAAAAGGAGAGGACCAAGCACCGAACCCTGGGGGACGCCTTGGGACAGAGGGGCAGTGGAGGAAGTGCAGTTATTTATGTGGATGAACTGGTGTCTGTTGGTGAGGTATGATTTCAACCAGGAGAGTGCAGTGTCAGTGATGTTAAGAGATGATTCCAGGTGGGACAGCAGGATGGTATGGTTGATGGTGTCGAACGCTGCTGTGAGGTCGAGGAGGATGAGGATGTTGAGATTGCCGGAGTCTGAGGAGAGGAGGAGGTCGTTAGTGATTCTGAGGAGGGCTGTTTCTGTGCTGTGCTTTGTGCGGAATCCTGATTGAAAGGGTCAAAACAGGTTATTGGAGCTGAGGTGGGATTTCAGTTGAGAGGCTACAACACGTTCGAGTAGTTTTGATAGGAAGGGGAGATTGGAGATGGGCCGAAAGTTGGACATGACGTCAGGTGTGAGTCCAGGTTTTTTTTGTAACAGCAGCCAGTTTGAGTGAGGGGGGGACTGATCCAGAGCAGAGGGAGGAGTTAATGATTGTGGTTATGAGTTGGGAGATGGGAGGGAGGCATTCCCTGACAAATTGTAGTTGGTATGGGGTCCAGAGTGCAGGTGGAGTTCATTCCAGCCATGAGGGTGGACAGTTGCATTGGGGTCACAGGGGAGAACCGGGATAGGGGCTGTGAGGGAAACATGCGATCAGTCTGACTTGGGCACAGTTCTTCGAGGGGTGGGCAATACACCATAATATGCACAAGGGAATCCAATCTTCACCTGTTTACGCAGTTTGGGACGACCCGCTTGTAAGCTCAGCACGTTCACTGCAGCTCCGTCTGTGCATACAGAAACAAGCTCGTCTTGCCACTCACCTCTAAGCCACAAGCATAGAAGAGCTTGCTCGAGCCCGTATGTATGTCCTGTCGCGTGTCGTTTCACCTTACAAATGAATGAACCAAAGGAAATCTGAGCAAAACTCTCCCTTGGCTACCACTGACACAATGTAACACATTTCCTGCTCACTTTTGTTATGTCTTCTGATCCTCAAAAAGCACACCCAAAATTCCAGGCTGCGCTTCATTTTTCATAACAACTCTGAAACATTGCCTGTGCGATGCTCCATGATGCGGGATCCCTTCTCTCGAATGAGTAGCAGTCCACAACATTAAGCCTTTCAAGGGGCCTCCTTGAGAAGTGCAATGTCGCTCTCATATGCAACGCATAGGACGTACATGTTTCGGCTTGTGAAGACCTCACAGACATATACTCCAGAGCTTGGCGCTGTCTTCATGTGAGTTTATCCTGCCACCTGTCGAGGGGACGATTGGAGTTGCTTATTCTGGCTGCAAATGGGGGGGGTTGGGGGGGGGGGGGGGGGGGGGGGGGGCGGAGGGTCCAGCTATTCTTACATGCTTCTTGGCTCTTCTCATCGGCTTTCAAAAAGCTGGATGAGCTAAAATTCGTAACAACTATATAAAAAGGCGTTGCTTTATAGCAAGATTCGGATTTTTCTGGCATATTTTTCGCACCACATCTTCAGTGCGCTCGTCATCGGCTTGAGGCAGCTACCGCATCCTTAGCCACTACCACGCCGTGCTTGCACCCAGATGATTGTTCAGTAACATAAAACTATCTTGGCAGATTTCAAACTATAGCATTTAAAAAAAACTTCACGAGAC